CACAAGTAAACTGCATAATGCAGAACAGGGCAGCTTCAGTTTGTACTGAATTATAAATTGGTTACACTAATCACAGTAACTAGACAAATAAATCTCTCCCATACTCATAAATGTGGCATATAATCGGGGAATCCAATTTAAAACACATAAATTGACAGTTAATAAGTGTATGAAAAACAAACAAAATGTTAATGAAAATAGCATGCCTGACATCTCAATACAATGGCCTCTATATTTTGACTTTGGTTTTTGCTCATAATTCATGTTGCCGTTAACATTAATTACCCTCATGGACCAAATAAACTTCATACCTTACTGTCAATATGAAGGTGAACTATGTAGGCGTGTTATTGCTGTCTGGTAATACATACAGTAGCCAATGAAACAGAGCAAACACAATGCACGGAATTTACTACTGGTGGTTATTCTTATCACACCCTCACTCATTACTCAATTCTCTGCATTAGCTTGCCCCAGAAACTCCAAGCTAGCATACAGTTCCGCTACTTATGAACCATATATAAAATCCACTCTAAAAGAAAAAGGAAAAAGAAAAAAAGCAATTCCTTTCTAGATATCCCTCCACAGGGTTTCTTTTGAAGGGTTAACACTCCCCATGAAGAAAATCAGCATTTGGCTAACAGCCAGTGGAGCAACAGACACTTTCCATACTTTTCTACAGGTGTTGGAGGAGAGTGTAAAGTGAAAATAGAAAAGGGAGCTAGTAGGGAAAAAAAGGAGTAGCAGTGGTCTGGGGCTCCTGCAAACTGTCTAGAGATGGAGAATGCTAAAAATTCTGCCCAAATGGTCTAACCTTTTCAGGTTTTTATTAAAATCAGGTCTTCTGAAACCAGTAATTAAAGTAGTACCCCTCTACCTGCCTGTTTCTTAAATTTGTAAATGTATGACGTGACTTCAAGTATTACAGGAAGGCTGCATACATGATTAAACTGGAATGGAGTATATTAAGTATCTGATAAGTATTCAATAAATATTAGCTTTGGATGTTTTTTAATGCAGCTGTTACCGGCCTACATCCAGTTTGGTTTTCCTAGTAATAACATGCAGAGGGCTTTTTCTTTTTCTTTTTTGCTAACGGTTATATATCCATCACAGTTCTTTGTTTTCCACTTATATAATTAACCTGAGTCCATAGCCCAAAGCCTAAAATCCATCAATCTATGAGAAAACAAAGACAATGAAAGCTCAACCATGAGCTTCCTTTTTCTATCATTTCAGTATGATATTCAGCCATCCTTCCACCATCAAGCTTTCACTGATTACCCTTATCGAGAAATAAGTTATCCAACTTTATTTCAATCTTTCCAACCATATTTATCATATCCTATCTTCTAGTCTTTCTTTAAAACATCACTTCCTGCCATATATTAAGTTATTTATGGATTTTTATATTCTCCATTATTTGACTGGACAATGTCTTAGATTCATTGTATTCCCCACAACATAGAGTTTTAACAGCTTTTAAAATAATGTTTATTGACTATTATGGTTATAAACAATTACTATATACTTATTGTTAAACATTTTGAAAATACAGAAAGTATAAAAGGGAAAATACACAATGCCTATTCATCCTCCAATGAGAAAAAAGCACTGCCCCATTTTGGCCCTTTCAGTCCCTTTCCTTATGTAGGTAGATCTTTCTGGTTTTTTAAACATAGTTGAGAGTTGACTGCACATACAGTTCTCTAGCCTATCTCCCCCCCATTTAGCAAAAATTGATAAATACCTTTCCACACTGTTAAAACTCTTCATAAACATCCTTTTACAAATCTGTATAAAACCATGTCTTTTGATGATAGCATAATTTATTTAAACTGTTCCCCTCTTGTTGGGCATTTAGACTATTGCCAATATCTGACTTTTCTAACCAAAGCCATATTAAGCACTTGTGAACATTAACTTTTAAAATATTTCTCATAAGTTCCTTTGGACAGACTGCTAGGAGTGGAACTACTGGATCGAGGAGTGGACACATTTAGTGAGACTTTTCGTACATTCAGCCAATGAGTTTTTCAGAAAGCTTTCACATCTGCACACCCCTCACAGCATCTAAGAGTGTCTGCTCCACTACCCACTACCTGATGTGGAGAATTAGAATTTTTTTAAATCTATGTAAATTTGAGAGCTGGAAAAATGGTCCCTTGCTGTTGTTTCAATTTCATTTCTTTGATTAATGGAAAGAGAATGCATTTTCATATGACTGTTAGCCATTCAGTTTTCTCTTGTATGGGTAGTCTGTTCCTGTCATATTAGTTTTCTTTTGCCGTGTAACAAATTCCCACAAGCTTAGTACCTCAAAACAACACCCATTTCTTTTTATATATATATAAATTTATTTATTTTATTTAATTTATTTTTGGCTGCATTGGGTCTTCGTTGCCGCACATGGGCTTTCTCTAGTTGCGGCGAGTGGGAGCTACTGTTCCTTGAAGAACACCCATTTCTTACTTCGCAATTCTGAAGGTCAGAGTCTGGGTGGGGTTGTATGGGTTCTCTACTCAGGCTCTCTTTCACAAGGCAGAAATCAAGGCGTTGGCTAGGCTGTGGTCTTAACTAGAGGTTCTGGTAAAGAATCCAGTTCTGAGCTCATTCAGTTTGTTGACCCTCGGCCTGAGGTTCCAGTTTCCACACTGGGTCACCCTCAGCAATTCTAGGGCTCCCGCATTTCTCAAGGCTGTCCCCATGCCTTCTCAAGTGTCACCTCCATTTTCAAAACAGCAACAGCATGTTCAGTTCTTCTCAGGCTTCAGATCTCTCTGGTTTCCCCAGCCAGAGAATGCTCTCCTCTTTTACAGGCCTCTTTGATTAGATTTGGCCCACCAGCTAATTTCCCCATTTTAAATTCAACTGTGCCATATAAAGAAACATGATCAAGGAAGTGATACTGCATCATATTTACAGGTTCTGGGGATGAGGGTATGCAATCTTGGTGGAGGGGCATTTTCAGAACTGTGCTTGCCATAGGGTATTAGATGTTGTTTCTTATCATTTGTTTGTGCTCTTTATGATGTCTTAATTTCATGAATTTACCAAATAAGTGAATCTTACTGATGACTGCCAGAAGTTGCATTTTCACAATGGCAAAGACAACTAAGGATGGGGCTGCTGTGTGCTAATAAAGATTCTGAACACAGTCGGCCCTCCGTACCCTAGGGTTCCACATCCGCAAATTTAACCAACCACAGACTGAAAATATTTGGGGGAAGAAAACTCCAGAAAGCTCCAAAAAGCAAAACTTGAATCTTGCTGGGCACTGGGCAACTATTTACATAGAATTTACAATTCTTGACATAGAATTTATGTTATACGAGGTATTATAAGTAATCTAGAGATGATTTAAATTATACCAGAGGATGTGTGTAGCAGAGGTTACATGCAAGCACTATGCCATTTTATAAGGGACTTGAGCATTGTTGAATTTTGGTATCTGTGGGGGGTCTTGGAACAAATTCCCCTATGATTGTATATGACTTTGCTAACATTGGTATTTTAAAAAGATTTAATTGTGGGGAAAAGTACATTACATAAAATTCACTATCTTAACTATTTTTAAGTGTACAGTTCCAAACTATGAAGTACATTCACAATTGTTGTGCGACTAATCTCTAGAATGCTTCATCTTGCAAAACGGAAACTCTATACCCATTTAACAACTCTACATTTCGCCCCTCCCCCAGCTCCTGGCAACCACCATTTTACTTTCAACATTGGTATATCTTTATTTTATGTATTTATTAACAAACATGTATATCGCAATTACTACATGCACTGTTCTAAGAACTTTAAAAATATTAACTCATTTAATCGTCCTAACAACCCTATGAAATCAGTACCGTTATTATTTCCATACTACAGATTAAGAAATATAGCAAATAAACTGCCCAAGGTTACAAAATAGGAAGTGACCAAGCAGGAATTCAAACCCAGAATGGCTTTATAGTTCTTGCTATGAACCATTACATTGTGAAAATACTCACTGAAAGACAAACTCATCAGGCATTAATATTATTTCCTTGATGTGCATGACTATAAAACACTTTTCTATGAGCAATTTAATCTAATATTCTTCTAGTAACTAAAAGTTAGACTATGTGACCAAGGTGACACATGCCTACTGACCTTTTAGCCCAATTTTGGTTAAGGCATTTGTTTTTGAAGTTAATGAAACAAAATTTGCCTTATATCTTAAGGTGTGCCAATTATAATTTACGTGTGGTATTTTATAATAAAGTATCTTATGAATGAATACAAATCATAATTCACTATGACTACTGAAATTATAATATTAAAGGAAAAAAACCCAGGTATTTCTCTTTTCCAAGAAGAAAAAAACTTCCAAATTAGTTTACAACAGCATAGCTCAATCTCAGTTTAACCTAGTAAATTCAAATCTGTCCTGCTTTGCAAGCTATAACTCTAGACCAGTCTCAATTTGTCATTCATTTGTATATCTCAGTAGTAACACTTTATTTGAGGAGTGGGTCTGAAATGTCCTTATCTCGATCTTTTAGCTTAGTAATCCTTTCATGGAAAACCAAATCATGCTTGTCATCAGTCACATAGTGTCATTTACTGTATATTAAAAACGAACAAGGTCAACAGATGGAACAGTCGTTGTAGTCTGAAAGCCCCAGTTAGATGTGAGTTAAAAGCTCTGCTGAGGCTTGGTTTCTAAGACCCAGGAGGGGCAGCGGGGTACTAAAAACAACACACAGAACGGGATCAGCTATTTCAACTGCTTTCTACTTATATACCTGATTCATAAAAATAAACAGACAACGCATCATACAGTCTCCCCTCACCTATTATCCATTGCACTGCTGTGCAGTTTCCAGGGTGAAATAGAAACCAGAGCATGGAAGAAACCGCAAAATCACCGCTACGCCAGGGAGCTTCTCGGATACTCACAATGCTGTCATCCCCACACCCTTCCCGCAGTGGCCAGTCCAGCAGCACAGAAGCAGGCAGATGCTCACCTGGCCTCCGGCTACTTCTCCCCCTTCACCTGCGGGGCCTGCAACCTACTTCTGGCTGTGGTTCGGCTTTGGCAGCCAGCTCTCCTCACGGTCACGGCCCGTTCGGCCACCGACCATTCCGGCCCGGCTCTCTGTTTACAAGCGCTTCTTGCGGTCCCACACTTAAATGCTTCCTTCCAGCAGCTCAGGAAGCGAGACTCGGACACACAAGGTTCCAGGCCGCAAGGACTCGTCTTTCCTGCCTTAGGGACCCAGCGCCACTCAGGGCCTGACCGCACCCTCCTGGCCTCCTTATCTCTTTGTTTTCTTACGCACAGTTTTCATCACACACTTTTTGAAAACAATGGTATGTGCCGCAGAGCCTCCTCACTGCTCCTCCCAACGCACAGATGGATGTTTGCAATTGGAAAATTTCACTTGAAACATGCCAGGGACCAGACTTGCTATTTAGCAGCTCCCTTGGCTAAGAGAATTAGAGAGAGAAGTTCTTTCTGAAAATAGAACTATTAGAACCTAGAGATTGCTTCACATTTCAGGTTTGGAGCTGCGATGAAAATCAATTTTCACTCCCCTTTCATGGTGTAGCCAGCAGGTTGAAAGAGGATGGTTTTGAGAGGAGGTCTTAACCCCCATTCGGATTCCCAGCAAAACAGAAAGTGTGTGTGTGTGTACGCTCACTGGTGGGCAACCTGAGTGCTCCTTTGTGAGACACTCCGACCCACCCCACAGTGACTTTGGCCACATTGCAAGAGGATAGGGTGGTCTTGATCTCGGAAAGACAGCAGTGAATGGTCCTAAAGAGAGATCCTAGTTCCCTGCCCAGGAATTGAACCTGGGTAGCCTGGATGAAAACCAGGAATCCTAGCCAATAGATGTTGGGGTGGCGGGCAGGGAGGGGAGGAGGGCTGTGCGCAACTTTTTGCTAAGATGGATCCCACTGCAGAAGCCTGTGGGTGTATGTCCACACTTATTATGGGGTGGCGCCCCCTCCCTTTTTGACCCTCAAGGAGCCTTTCTGCACATGCGCAGACAGGGAAGTTTTCCTTGACCTCAGGAGTGGTTGTCTTATCTCTTTACTTTAGCAGAGCTCAGCTTCTGCCACTACCTTTGCCCTTGGAGTGAGAACAAAGTTTCAATTTTACTCCACTTGACAAACACCAGCTGTCCAGCCCAAGGGCCCATCTGTCTCCTACCTCAGTCTGGCTGGAAGACCTTCCTTGAAGTCTCCTGCTTTATTCTCCATCATAGCACACTTAGCCATTTTCTCAATTTATAATTACCCATTTTTAAAATTTACCTGTTCTACTGGCTTCTCCACTCCCACTCCAGCTTCACCTATAAACTCCCTGAGGGCAGAAACTGTTTTGGTTTCACTCACCACCACATAATAGGCACAAAGCACAGTGTGTAATGTATATATGTTTGAATGAATGAATGAAGAAATGGACACACACAAAAAAATTGTCAAAGGAAGCCAGAGAAACAGCATGATAAGATTCGAAAAATCTGATTCCTGCACTCCCTTAAAGATTAATAAGAGAATCTTTAACCATTGAATTTTTAAAAATATCTCTTTTGGTTGATGTTTAGAGTTTAAATGTTTGTTTGAAAACTTATACTGCAATTCGAGATACATCTCTTGTTCCTTAAACATGCAGTGTTCTCTTTTGCCTCAGGACTTTTGACACTGGGTTTCCTCTGATGAGAGCTGTCACCCCTGCCCCATCCCTTTAGCCTGGCCAACTTCTTGCTTTTTAAGAAGCAAGTGGCATCACTCCTCTCCTGGAAATCTCTGACAGAGAAACCTGATCCTTTAAACATGCCCAGAGGAACTCACATGTTCCTCTATAAATGCACTCATCACATTGTACCAAATTCATCTATATTCTCATTAGCCTTCCCAGGCCACTGATTCTCAAACTTCAGCATGTGACAGAATCTTCTAGAATAGTGCTTCTCAAACTTTAATGTGTGGGGATCCTGTTAAAATGCAGATCATGATTCAAGAGGTCTATGGTGGGGCCTTTGCACCTCTAGTGAACTCCCAGGTGATGCCACATTTTGAGAGTCAAGGCTCTTGGATGCATGTTAAAAATGCAAATTCTTGGGTCATGCACCCAGTCTGGGGGGGGGGGGGGCGGCCCGAGAGTGGGGGGGAAATTGCCAATTATAGGGGAAATTGACGTCAGGTTGGCTCATGGGTTACCAGGGAAACCAGCAGAGGGGCATGCCCCTCACCACCCCTCGGATCAGAACAATCACCAGCTGGGACCTGGGGCAAGTGCACAGGAAGGTCAGTCATGTGAGCAGGGTGTAGGTGCAGCAGGCACTGGTCGAGCAGAGGGTATACAGAGAGCAAGAGAACAGCCATCTTGAATGGCCCGACCAGACACCCGTAGATTCTCATTCTGGAGGTCTACAAAAAGTCCTGAATTCTGTTATTTTAGCAAGTGCCTCAAAGTGCTCCTTATTGGAATATTCTTTGAGAAAAACTATACCAGTCTATGAAGTTGGAGGGCAGGGCCAATGCTTTGTGATTTATTTCCCACCATGCATTAAGCACAGGGTCTGGCACATAAAATGCCTTAAACAGCCACATTTACAGAACGACTAGATTTACTCATTATCACTAATATAGATTCTCAGTGCGATCCCAGAAAAGGGATGAAAAGTCAAAGGCTGAGAACGATCTCAGCTGGGCAGTTGCTGGCTCTCAGGCCTCCATTTGGTCAGCAGGGGTCATTTTGCTCCTCTGAATTTAAATATTTAAATTCACGTCTCTATTCAAAAGCCCCAGCTGCTTTTTTTTTTTTTTTTAAATAGACTTTATTTTGTAGAGAATGAGCAGAGAAATACAGAGTTCCCAGATACCCGCTGCCCCAAAACACGCACAACCTCTCCCACTATCAACATCTTGCACTACGGTAATACATTTGTTACAGCTGATGACCCTATCTTGACACATCATTATTACCCCACATAGGTATACATAGGTATACATAGGGCCACCTATGTATACCTTCTAGACCTTGCAGTTATACTGCCAATTAAATCCCTGTTTGCTAAAGGTGGTTTGTGTTGGTCTCTGTCATTTACAACTGAAAGCATCCTAATACTCCACCATTCCAGACTTATCTCCAGAATACTTCTTTTCTCCCACTCTATACTCCAGACTTACATTTTTTTACCACTCCTGGATACTCTTCCATTCATTCCCATTATCCTGCTTTAGGATCCCCCATTATATCCCTTCTGCATCCCCTGAAGGGCAGGGAGCTTGCCTTATTCATCTTTGTATTCTCCACACCACTTATGGTACCTAGTAAATGATCTTAATAAATGTGCATTAAAACAAAGTGAAATACCAAATGACATGTAAGGAGAATTTATTATTGTATCTCTTCATTAAAATTTTTTCAACTTAGCTTTCCTTTATAAAATAATGGTCAAGTCCAGATTCAATAAAGCAATACTGTCTTCCAAGAAATAAAACAAAAGTTGCATCAAAAAATATTTTAAACTTAATCAGAAAATGTTGGTGCTATTTATAGCCTAGAATTTGCAAGCCAAGTATACCTCACCCCATGTGCACAGATATGCCCAGGTAAAGATGATTGGGATATTCACTGAGAGCCATATAATAATATTTGTTTGTCTCATTAGGTAAATTAAAAGCGTTTGAGATGTAGAATACTAAAGTCATAAATGGAGCAGCTTAAAAGTACAACTGAGCTTGCTATTCAGCTGGGAGGCACCCGCAAAGGCATCCCATTGCTGAAATATTGAAACAGTTGCATACAAGCTGGTAACTAGCTTCTGTCCCTAAGCTTCCTAAGTGTCCCAAGTCTCTTTCCAAGGAATTCCCTCCCCACCCATCCTAAGATTCAACACCCAAAGGATTGATACCTGACCCTTCTCTTGCATGAGAGGCAGGGTTCTTTCTGATTAGCCAATGATCAGGCCATATATGTTTTTGAGTATTTTGCTATCACTTCTACAAGTAGGCAAACAGAAAAAAATAGTGAAAAGCCTTCAACGAAGCAAAATATTCAATGATTCCCCACCCTACTACCACATACTATGTCTTTTTTAACCAGAAAGATCGAGAATAAGTGATAGACTCTTACAAAAAAACGTCTTTAATTGGGCAATTTGAATGTGCTTCATTTTAGTCATTCAATAAGCACATATTGTAGGAATTCATTGTTCTCCGGGTAGGTGGTTCATGGGCTCATGGTGGCTTGTATGATGGTTAGTACCAACCAGAGGCCTCCATTAAGAGCTTACCTGTTGATGGAATGGTCCAGAAAGTTAAAACCTTGTAAAAGGAAAACTTCTTCAATCTTGACATGGGACAGAACCTTTTTGTATGATATATTCTAAACTTCCTTCTGGGAAAACCTAGCATTCCTGATAAAATGCCTAAGAAATCTGCAAAGTTAGGTAAACTTTAACAGCATTAGGAGCTGCAGGAATTGCTGCCCTTCAACACCTGGCCTGAAAGCTATCTGAGAAGCTTTCTCCCTGGCTATAGTCCTCATTTTGCCCCAAATAAAACCTAACTTACCAAAAAAAAAAAAAAGAGTTGCACGCTGAGTTCCCGGGAAGCAAACTCAGAGAGAGTTCAGCATGCAGGGAGTGCCCATGAGATCAGCACGTATGTATGGGAGGGGTGAGAGCCAAACTGGGCAGAGGGAAAGGTAGAGTTGTAAGGCCCAACAGCAGCCTTGCCACCCCCATGAAGACCTCTGAGACAGAGTGGCCTGTCAGAGGCTTTAGAATAGTCCTGAATCGGGCCAAGAACAAGTGGTGTGCTGGCAAATTGACTCTGAAAAAACAAAAGCCCTGATTTGTTACTGTCTGCCAATTTCCACGGTGTAAACACCACCCGATGCCTAATTTCAAGTTCTGGATGTCGTGTCACTGAACGTGGGGTTGGAGATGTGCACAGTCAGGTCTCAAGGGCCAGCAGAAGCTGGCTGTAGCACACCACTGGCCAAGACGGCCAGGTCTTTCCATGTCCACGTCCATCAGTCAGTGGATGTGGGCTACTCTGAGAGGGAGCACGGTCTTAGGCAAGGTGGCCCTCTGCAGTTGATACAGTCCTTGGAGGGTTTGACCACTGAAGGCAATCTACTGACACCACTTCCAGCAG